TTTAAAACAAATGAGGGATGAAACAATGATTCAGGAGATTCAGAACTCTTTTGAATGAAATCAATAGTTACCTTGATAGACTTACCAATTTGAATAATTTGAATAATGACAGAGCAAAATTGCAAGTTTTGACCCAGAATATTCTCCGCATCATGGATTCGATGAACTTTACTGATGGTGAAGACTCTACCATTATATAAATATTCGCAACGTTAGTATTATGTTTGAAAGTAAAAAGTCAATTAATATAGGAATTTGATATGGAGGGATTTGATTATTAATAACAAACAATATAATAATAGTAGTAAAATAATAATAAACTCTGTATTAATTATTTAAATTATTTAAATTATTTAATAAAATTTGGTAATGTTTATTAATGAGATGCCTCACAACTATTGCTTTATTATAACACAATCTTTTTTTACCTCTAATCGCTATCCTCGCTTCTTGTTTATCATGTTTCCTATCGCAGCTTTGATGCACCCTTTAAAATTAGGAATTAAAAAAAAAACAACCAACTCAGGTAACCCAATAACCACCATTGTTCTTTTTAAAAGTATATAAAGTAATTGAACTATGTTCTAGTAAAATATGATATTCAGTTATTATCCAAGTTATATAATATCAATGTTCTTCTATTTGTCATTTTATTTTTTCTTGTGATTTTCTCTATTAAAAGATAGACGCCTTTGTCCCCGATTTAGACTACCGATTATTTTATCATTCAACTTCTTTGCTACCCAAAATATTCGCAATCGATATGGTACTAATGATGAAAAGCGATCACGCTCGTCATGCCTCGGCATAGGAATTGCATTAGTAGCCATGATTATATACTTGATAAAGAATTGGAAATAAATTTATGAAATATTGGCTTTGAAAATTTAAAAAATAATAAAGTAAAATACTTACAAGAGGAAAGAAAAGTGCGAACACACCAGCACTCAAAAATTGATCAACAAAGAACGTTATCACGGTAAATAAGAAGCCTGAATAAGTTATGTTAATGAAAATTTTCTAATAATATAAACATCACATCGACAACGAACAAATATTACCAAATCCGGCAAAATAAGACCACCTTTCTTCAAAATATCCTATACGTTGTTCCAAAGACCAACCTTGATTAATCCATTTGTACCTATAAGAAATAATAATATAATTTAGATATAAATAAAGATTTACAATTGTTGATGTAATTAAAAAGATACATACTCGAAACTATAATAAGCATATATCCAACAAAAATACATGAATGATATAACTGGACCGATAACAGGTATGACATACACTAAAGTTGCCACTATCAAATAATTCATGAATAATAATGCACGATAAATTTCATCAGCCATAACTTTTAATGCCCTGTAAAGAAATAAGCATATAATTTTAAAAAGTTGTAAAATTACAAATTGAACACATAAAAAGGAACTAACCTGGGATATGTTCGGCGAGAATTTATAGGTGGACCATAATACATTCTAAAAGCCCTATCAGCTATTTCTTGATACCATATAGCATTTAATACGAAGCTTAGTATAAATATCGGATAGACCCATAATAGCTAAAAAGAGAAATTTTAAAATTTGAAAAATCCAATAAAGTATATAAACATTCTTTAAATTTTTAAATAGTACTTGATAAGTTAAAGCCACTATAGTATCCAAAACCTTTGTAATTAAAGGTGATTTGACGTCTAAAGCATCTCCAATATCGTTTCCATTTCCTCTGTGATTTAGTGCAAAGAAAGACTCTCCAAGGAAAAAATGTAAGGTAGGTAAAGTAACATGATTGAAAAAAAATATGCTTCCTAAAAAGATCACTCCATTAAGGACAAAACATTTTAGGGTATGATTTTTGATCGTTTGCGATCTAATATAAATCAGGGCATGAATGAGAGAAACATACATTTAGAAAGTAGAATAAGCAAATAAAATGCCGAAGCGATTTTACCCGTAAATAGTGATCAGGCCAGAAGGCCAAGCGAAAGCGTCTTTAAAGCCACACCAAAAATATTCAAGGCACAACTTCAAAGTATCTGTAAAAGACTCCATCAAAATGTTTACATTTGAGGAGAAAAGTTTGCTTGTAAATTTTTTATGATAGACACTCCACTCCATAAGATACTGGTTTATGTAAACGTGTTGTAGATGTCACACTGGGGTGTTCGATGCTCATAGTAAAAATTACTAGTGAATTTTTTGTGTAACAAAGACGACGATTTATATTAAAAACTCAAATTTTGACAAATTTTTATCAAAATTTAAAAAAAGCGCTCTTTTTCCCTAAAATATAGGGTCTGAGTAAAATTTTTAAAGAAGTTAATACAGTCTAGGAATATACCAAATTTGGATATTGTCGATCGCACCTTATTTAGTAATAATCACTGATAGAATTATT